TCTATGTTAGAGCTCTGGGCCTTCACACATTTCAACTTTAAAGGTTTAGAGGAGGATTTTCCCAAACTTTAGGAAAGTCCCGCCCTCTCCACTTTTTGAACAAAACTCTCTGGTCTCATTGGACGAGCATGTATCACCAGAATGAGTGATAATCGGGAGGACCAATAGTCTTGATGACCCACCTGGGAGTAAAGCATCCTCCTATAAACCTAATATTTACAGTCTATGGTTACGGGGCTTTATCCATCACTAAGTAACTGTAACAGAATGTACTCAAAAAGAATACTCTGATTACATTCCATTACCCCCCAACCCTGACAACCAACCCCCCTCCACGCCAGAACAACCCATCTTGTACTCCGGGACCTCCCTCGTTGCAAATTAAGCACTGGATGAATGTTTATTGTCCATCCATTTATTTTCTTCTGCTTAGAGGGCTGCCCCCGCCACCCGGCAACGGATAAAGCGGACGAGACTCACGGTGACGTAGTGCAGGTCGTCGCAGTCCTGTCCGGGGCAGGGACTCTCTGGGTTCTTCTCGATGTCCACCGAGTAAATGATGACCGCCATGATGGACAGCACCGCGGACAGGGAGCTGGTGGCTAAGCAGGCGTGGAGCTGAGAGAGACGCCATGTTGGACAGGTCAGAGAGGAGCGGCCATGTTGGAGAGGTCAGAGAGGAAAGAGGCCATGTTGGAGAGGTCAGAGAGGAAAGAGGCCATCTCAGAGAGGAGAGACGCCATTTTGGAGAGGTCAAAGAGAGAGGCGGCCATGTTGCAGAGGTCAGAGAGGAAAGAGGACATATTGGAGAGGTCAGAGAGGAAAGAGGCCATGTTGGAGAGGTCAGAGAGGAAAGAGGCCATGTCAGAGAGGAAAGAGGTCATGTTGGAGAGAAGAGACGCCATTTTGGAGTGGTCAGAGAGAAAGGAGGCCATGTTGGAGAGGTCAGAGAGAAAGAGGCGACCATGTTGGAGAGGTGAGAAAGGAGGGGTGGCCATGTTGGAGAGGTCAGAGAGGAGAGACGCCATTATGGAGAGGTCAAAGAGGAGAGATGCCATGTTGGGGGGGTCAGAAGAGAAAAAACAATGGCGTTTTTTTTTTTTTTACATTTCTAAAACATTAAAGATCATAAATTGCTCATGTGAATCGAAAACGTACATTTTTCATGGTGCAGTATTTGTCCAACAGTATTGCCACAGATCCAGCGATGACGAACTGTGGAGACATTTAACAGAAATGAAAAAACACAAAAAACCAACAATCTACATTAGTTTCTCCATAAAAATCACGATACTGCCTTAAAAATGAAATATGTTGATAAAGAAATGACATCATGACTGGTTACGTCAATGAATTAGACATGTTTTGACCAAGTTTCACCAAACACACTGTTTTTTATTGTGCAATTGTGTAATTTCAGAATTTCCCCTGATTTCCCTCTCTCTCTTCTCTCTTTCACCCTTCTTGTTCTCTCTCATTCTCTCTCCTCTCCCTCTCTCACTCTACACGATCTCTCTCATCTGTCTTTCTCTTCTCTCTTGCTCTCTCACTTCTCTCTCTCTCACACTCTCCTCATTCTCTTTCTCTCACACTCTCCTCATTCTCTCTCTCTCTTTCTCTCTTCTGTCTCTCTCCTCTCGCTCTTCTCTCTCTCTCTACACACACAGCAGCTCCTTCTCTCTGCTCATGTTGTGTGCTCCTTGTTTACTCTCACTCCTGCCCTGTAAGTGCGCTGCAACACTGACATTTCCCCTGATCTCCCAAACACAGGCTGGAATAGAAGTGTGATGTCACAGACCGTGAGGCCGCTCCACCACGGCACCCCCGTCAGGACCACCTCCGTGTGCTCCGTGAGGTGCAGAGGGATGGAGTACATCATGACGAGGAGCCCCAACATCAGCTGGCTCACCTGCAGCACAGGGACCTCCGGGTTAGGGACCAGGGAGAGAGACCAGAGAGAGAGACCAGGGAGAGAGACCAGAGAGAGAGAGACCAGAGAGAGAGACCAGAGAGAGACCAGAGAGGGAGAGAGAGACCAGGGAGAGAGACCAGAGAGAGAGACCAGAGAGAGAGACCAGAGAGACCAGAGAGGGGGAGAGAGACCAGAGAGAGAGACCAGAGAGAGAGGCCAGAGAGAGAGACCAGAGAGAGACCAGAGAGAGAGAAACCAGAGAGAGAGACCAGAGAGAGAGGCCAGAGAGAGAGACCAGGAGAGACCAGAGAGAGAGACCAGGGAGACCAGAGAGGGGGAGAGAAACCAGAGAGAGAGACCAGAGAGAGAGGCACGAGAGAGACCAGAGAGAGAGACCAGGGAGACCAGAGAGGGGGAGAGAAACCAGAGAGAGAGACCAGGGAGACCAGAGAGGGGGAGAGAAACCAGAGAGAGAGACCAGAGAGAGAGACCAGAGAGAGAGGTCAGAGAGAGACCAGAGAGGGGGAGAGAAACCAAAGAGAGAGACCAGAGAGAGAGACCAGGGAGACCAGAGAGGGGGAGAGAGACCAGAGAGAGAGACCAGAGAGAGACCAGAGAGAGAGACCAGAGAGAGAGACCAGAGAGAGAGACCAGAGAGAGAGACCAGGGAGACCAGGGAGACCAGAGAGGGGGAGAGAAACCAGAGAGAGAGACCAGAGACAGAGACCAGAGAGAGAGGCCAGTGAGAGACCAGAGAGGGGGAGAGAAACCAGAGAGAGAGACCAGAGAGAGACCAGAGAGGGGGAGAGAAAGAGAGAGAGAGACCAGAGAGAGAGGCCAGAGAGAGACCAGAGAGAGAGACCAGGGAGACCAGAGAGGGGGAGAGAAACCAGAGAGAGACCAGAGAGGGGGAGAGAGACCAGAGAGGAGGAGAGAGACCAGAGAGGAGGAGAGAGACCAGAGGGAGAGACCAGAGAGAGAGACCAGAGAGAGACCAGAGAGAGACCAGAGAGAGAGACCAGAGAGAGAGACCAGAGAGAGAGACCAGAGGGAGAGACCAGAGAGAGAGACCAGAGAGAGAGACCAGAGAGAGACCAGAGAGGGGGAGAGAAACCAGAGAGAGAGACCAGAGAGAGGGGGAGAGACCAGAGAGAGACCAGAGAGGGGGAGAGAGACCAGAGAGGAGGAGAGAGACCAGAGAGGAGGAGAGAGACCAGAGGGAGAGACCAGAGAGAGAGACCAGAGAGAGAGACCAGGGAGAGACCCGGGAGAGACCAGAGAGAGGGGGAGAGAGACCAGAGAGAGACCAGAGAGAGGGAGAGAGACCAGAGAGAGGGAGAGAGACCAGAGAGAGAGACCAGAGAGAGCAGGGATAGTGAGTCCACCCAGACGACTGCTGTTGTGATTTAAAGCGATACACAAATAAATGTAGTTGAATAGAAGAGAGTAGAGTACCCCCAGACTCTTGCTCTCTCCTCTCTGCACCGCTGTCCTCAGAGCCTGTTTACTGTCCATGAGCTTCAGGGCGTTGGAATCAGCCAAAACCTGCACCGTGAGGTCCTTGTTCACCGCCACCGCCATCTCTGCACACACACAGCATCCAACTCATAAAGGATCTCTGGTCTCTCTCTCTCTGGTCTCTCTCTGGTCTCTTTCTGGTCTCTCTCTGGTCTCTCTCTGGTCTCTCTCTGGTCTCTCTCTGGTCTCTCTCTGGTCTCTCTCTCTCTGGTCTCTCTCTGGTCTCTCTCTGGTCTCTGGTCTCTCTCTGGTCTCTCTCTTGTCTCTCTCTGGTCTCTCTCTCTCTGGTCTCTCTCTGGTCTCTCTCTCTCTGGTCTCTCTCTGGTCTCTCTCTCTGGTCTCTCTCTGGTCTCTTTCTGGTCTCTCTCTGGTCTCTCTCTGGTCTCTCTCTCTCTGGTCTCTCTCTGGTCTCTCTCTGGTCTCTCTCTGGTCTCTCTCTCTGGTCTCTCTCTGGTCTCTTTCTCTCTGGTCTCTCTCTCTGGGTCTCTCTCTGGTCTCTTTCTGGTCTCTCTCTGGTCTCTCTCTGGTCTCTCTCTCTCTGGTCTCTCTCTGGTCTCCCTCTGGTCTCTCTCTGGTCTCTCTCTGGTCTCCCTCTGGTCTCTCTCTGGTCTCTCTCTGGTCTCCCTCTGTCTCTCTCTGGTCTCTCTCTGGTCTCTCTCTGGTCTCTCTCTCTGCTCTCTGGTTCTCTCTGTTGTTCCTCTCCGGTATCTCTCTCTGGTCCCTCTCTGGTCTTTCTCTCTCTGGTTCTCGCTAGGTCTCTCTCTGGTCTCTCTCTGGTTCTCGCTAGGTCTCTGGTCTCTCTGGTCTCTCTCTGGTCTCTCACTCTCTGGTTCTCGCTAGGTCTCTCTCTGGTCCCTCTCTGGTCTCTCACTCGGTCTCTGTCTGGTCCCTCTCTGGTCTCTCTCTGGTCTCTCGCTCTCTCTGTTGTTCCAATCTGATATCTCTCTCTGGTTCTCTGTTCTCTCTCTCTGGTGTCTCTCTCTGGTGTCTCTCTGCCCATATTAAGGAAATGAAGAGGGTAAATATAAGTGAAAAGGTAGTTTTAAATAAATATTGGATTATTGTGCATAAGGTAAAAACTTAAAGTGTAACCGTGGTCTTTGATGGTTTGGTTTCACATCAACACCATCAATCTTTCATAATTAAGAAAACATTAAAGCCAGTTCTTCTCCTCAGCTCCTCCTTAGCTTCAGTCGAGTGTGAAATTAAACCTGGAGCACAATCCGGTCCATTGGACGAAGGTCACGCCCACAAAGTAACTTGAGAATTCATTTTACAAAGTCAGTAAAAATTCAGCACCGTGCGTCTTGTAAAAACTTTTACATTTACCAGTGATTTATCAGGCAAATGGTTCCAAATTATCTCTCTGTGGTATCTCTGTCTGGTTCTCTCTTTCTGGTCTCCCTCTCTGTGGTCTCTCTCTGGTCTCTTTCTGGTTCTCTACCTGTGGTCTCTCTGGTCTTTCTCTGATTCTCTCTCTGGTCTCTCTTTCTGGTTCTCTCTCTGGTCTCTCTTTTACCACCATTGGATTATCTAACTTGTAACATTGCGGCCGTAGCGGTCTATATTTTCCTTTCATCTTTAGCCCGGACACATCAGGTCCATATATTTTATTTAACGCTGATTTTATTTTCTATTTTTTGTAATGTCTGGAAAGCACTTTGTGGCACGTCAGTATTATTAATGTGCTAAATAAATATACTTCACCTTGATATAAAACATTTAAAAAACTGTTTAATGCATCAGTTTTATACAGTGCTTTTCAGGACACTCAAAGACACTGTACATGTCATTATTCATTCACTCCAAACACGGCGGTGATAAACTGTAGCCACAGCTGCCCTGGGGCACACTGACAGAAGCGAGACAACCAGTCTGTGCCAACAACCATTCACACACATCAGACTCATTCTAATGTAGGTGAAGTGTCTTGCCTAAGGACACAAACGTTTAGCACTTAATCACAGCCGCCCCACTGTGGCACCTGCTGTTCCCAGAGGTCTCCCATCACAGTACTAACCAGGCCCTGTCCTGCTTAGCTTCCGAGGGCTGACGGGATACAGGTAGGGTCACAATAGCTCCATGTTTGCTCATCTGTTGGTGACCAGGCATTGATCTAGAACCCTGGAGAATCACACTTGTTAAACCGTTTCATTTTGATATTTTATTTTATTTAAAAACCTGGTGCAGTCTCACAAACTGGAAACAAGATTCAGTGTTAAAGAAATAATCTGCAGTGAATGACATTTGCACAGAACAGGGACATGATCCGGTCACTCCCCTGAACCTTGTGCTGTCCTTGCGTCAAAAGATTACCCAATTTTGATTTTCCAGCCCTGAGACATTTAGACTTTATTCCTACTTAAGCAAAAGTTGGAATTTTGTACTAATTCTTGCTTCTTCAAGGTGCTAGACTTGGAGATTTTTTTTTTTTTTTAAATATGCTAAAGCAATTTTTTTTTAGTATAGTTCATTTCTCTTGTGCTGCGTGCTCCTCATTCCTACTGCTCTGTAACTGCATGCAACACTGGAATTTCCCCACAGTGGGACGTCTGTAAGTCATTGCTCTATGACAGATAACATCTAAACAGACCAAGTTTATCTGCTTTGTCCTTGTATATTGACAGATATTTAGTTTTTCCTCACAATATTATCTTATTTTCAGTTACTTTAATGTTACTGCTATTCTAATTGTGGAATACTGCGCGGGCTACTGTGACGACGCAATTTTTCCCGTGGATCAATAAAGTCTGCCAAAGTCTAAGGCCCTGTCCACACAAAGTCAAGCTCAGGCCTAAACGCAAAAATACTTTATCAATCCAGTGTATCGTCCATACGAGGCCGGCGTTTTGGGGGGGTGTAAACGAACATTTTTGAAAGTAGGTCCCAGAGTGGAAAGATTTCAAAACTCCGTATATGCCGCTCCGTGGTTACTGCCTCTCCGCAATGTATCTGAGACGCTTGCGTCATCGCCCCGCCTCTTGTTAAAGCACGCATGCGCCGCACTCAGAAAATAATGACAACAACAATGTAGCTTGTTGGTTTTGTAATCCAGTGTGACCCGAAGCAACAGTTCAACCTCATCGTCCGTCCATACTAATGTAGTACCAGCTCGCCCACTCGCCATGTTGTCTGTTTACAAAATTCCGCGCATGCCCAGTTCCCGTCACGGAAGTTTGGGCTTGATCCCGTCATTGCGTCACAGCGCCACCAACAGGTCTGGCATAGTTTCACAGCGTTTTCAGGCGTATTGACTACATTCATATGGACGCACACATTTACTGAGCTAACTCCGTGTTTACAGAAAAAGTTTCTGAAATTATAAGCGTTTTGTCTTCGTGTGGATATAGCCTAAGTATAAAGGATCTCTCTCTAATTTAGGATATTTTCTACTTTCAATATCCTCTGGCGGACCCCGAGGGAAGCACTAGAGTTAAACTAATCATTAAAACAGACAGTGCTAGAGAATCCTGCATCGTCAGAGGTGGAAATAAATATTCCCTGAACCACAAGTCAGACTGAAAACCCAAGAAAATATTTATTATTTCATTTAGAACAATGAATTTAGAGCTGCAGCAGCACATGCATTCACAGACACAGTAAAGTTCTGAGGTGGTGCCGTCGTGACGTCTTCAGGCGCTCCTCAGACCGAGAATATATTAGAACGGAACTAGTGGCGGAGGCCGAGGTCATTTGACTTTGTGGAAAATCTTGTGTGCGACCTGCGGAGACAGAGACAGAGTCAGACCAGCAACGGCCTCACACATGGTACTGCTGAGGAGAGAAAAGTGGGTCTAAAAGAAGCATTATGTAAACATGTGGCCAAAAGTGGTACTGCAGCCTCTCCCACTCTCCCTGACTCAGGTTGCCAGATATGCAGACGAATCCAGCTGGGACCATAACAGCTGAATAGACAAGAGTTTTGTCAACAACAAATCTATAACCAACACCTTTTTCACAAAGATAGAAATCCTGGTTTTATTCCTTGTTTTGTGGTTAATGATTTGAGAATCATAACGAGACCTTTTTTAGTTCTGCGCCACATGGTACTTTACCAGTGAGATTAGCTCCATGCGGTGAGTTCTGGCGCCCGGATCAGTGGAGGGCGGGACATCGAAATGAAAACAATAACAAGATTTGGAGACAGTAAAACTAATGTATAAATCCAAATATCTCTGAACTACAGTTATCAGTTAAAGAAGGATTGGAAAAGAAAATGTTTTATTAAAGCCTTTTGACAGATTAGGGCCCTTTAATGATGACAGATTAGGGCCCTTTAATGATGACAGATTAGGGCCCTTTAATGATGACAGATTAGGGCCCTTTAATGATGACTTGACATGGAAATCATACACTGCTAGTTTAACTTCACTCCTCTTGTTCGCCATGGCTCAAAATAAAGTATTCAGATCAAAAACATCCAAATTTAATGAGAAAAGCTGCCGATGGTTACTCGCTCTGGTCTTTTTCCAATTACATTCCATTAAAAATATATATAAAAAAGATTGAGAGCCCTCAGAAGCTGTAGCCAGGGTTTACAGAATCAGAATGTATAGAGCTAATGTCGCTATTCTCTCAAAACTAATCTCCAAAAACGTCACACCAACTTTGAGAGAAGAGTAAATAGCAACAATAAGAGTTTTATAAATTGCGACTAAGGGATAATTTGTCCTCTACATTTGGGCTCGAGATCATTCCCACCTCAGAGCTTCGTTTGCCGGATTATACCTCAGTACTTTAGTGTTTTTGTGTATGTCCTTGAGGTTCATTCATTGTGGGACTAATACAGGTTTTCATTCATTCAGGGACAAATCCAGAGCGAGAGGACCCCGTGATCCTCTTGCTGTGAGCTCAGAGTGCTACCGACTCAAAGCACATTCACATTTGGTTCAACTGAAATTTCTTATTCAACCAAAGATTTATAAGAAAAGGAAAATCAGAAATAGGGGTGCACAAACTTTTGCTATCAATTGGCCGGCGCACTCTGGGAGAAATTCAGTGGTTTTCTACTTTAGTTGGTGATAGTGGTGACCCCCGTGGTGACCCCCGTGGTGACCCCCGTGGTGACCGCCGTGGTGACCCCCGTGGTGATGTCGGTTGGTCTGGTCCGTTAGCGTACTGTATATATGTTCCCTTTGTGTGTCTTTTGTGATGCTCCGGATGTGTTTTGTGTGTGTTTTATTTTTGAATGTGCTTGAAATGGTATAGACTGGTTTGGACTGGTTTTTACGTACTGGTTTAGACTAGTTTGGGCTAATTTAGGCTGGTTTAGACTAGACTAGTTTAGACTGCTTAAGGTGGGTTTAAGCTGGTTTGAACTGGTTTAAGATGGTTTGAACTGGTTTAAGCTGGTTTAGGCATATTTGTACTGGTTTGGGCTGGTTTAGGCGGCTTTGGTCCGTTTTAGACTGGTTTAGACTGCTTTGGACTCGTTTAGGCTTGTCTCGATTGGTTTAGGCTGGTATGGACTGTTTTTTTAGACTAGTTTAGGCTGGTTTGAACTGGTTTTGGATTGGTTTGGGCTGGTTTAGGCTGGTTTGAACTGGTTTAGGCTGGTTTAAAAACTGGTATGAAACGTCAGCGAGTTCCGGGAGTCTCTGAAACTGGTTATTTTTCTTGCTTTTTTCTCTCGCTGTAAATGTTCCTACAGCACAGTGTTCGTAGTTTTAAACTGATCCAGTGTAGAAAGAGCAGGTAAAAAATAATTAATTAATGGAGGTGCAGATGCCAGAATCAGTATTTCAGAAAAGCTCGGATGGGTTTGGATTATCCTTTACCTTTTGCCTTCATCACATCATGAGAAAATATTTACACTGATCCAGACCAGGGCAGAGAGGCCCAAACCAAGCAGATCAAATGCAAAACATGATAAAATATAAGGTCATAAATGCTTGAATCAAGTGGTTTTACAGTAATTTGCTCACATTTTGACAGTCTAAAAACAAGATTTGCCATTGGGACAAGCAAAAATATCTTGTTTTAAGACGATACAAGACAAATCAAGAAATGTCTCCCTTCGAAAATTGCAGTAGCACTTGAAAAAACAAAAAACAAATGGCTTAATCCATTAGAAAATCTCGTTTTAAGAAAGTCAAAATATACTCAAGATAAAAGGATTTGATTCATTCCTTTATTAACTTAAATTGACACTTTTTGCAGTGTGAGGATTGCTAATTTAGTTGAATAAGGCTAATAAAGTATTCAGAATTTCACTCTGAACCAAAGCAGAGGTGACTCACGCAGTGGTCCCGTGCGTGCAGGAAGTCGAACAGTTCTTCCGTACACTCCTCCTCGGTGCTGGACCGCGACCCGACCCGCTCCTCGCACTTCTCCAGCTTCTCCTTGTAGTGGACACAGTGCTCCGTCTCCTCGCATTTGGCCCGAATCACCTCCAGAGGGTCCTGAGGAGGAGAACACGCACTTTACATCTCACAGAACTTTATAAAACCGTCAAATTCACCAACACAGATCAGAATGAAACAGTTCAGTCACAAGAAATGCGATGATGCCTCAGTCCTGCCTCAGTCCTGCCTCAGTCCTGCCTCAGTCCTGCCTCAGTCCTGCCTCAGTCCTGCCTCAGTCCTGCCTCAGTCCTGCCTCAGTCCTGCCTCAGTCCTGCCTCAGTCCTGCCTCAGTCCTGCCTCAGTCCTGCCTCAGTCCTGCCTCAGTCCTGCCTCAGTCCTGCACCGGACCTGTCCACGTTCCGCGGCCGCTGCGTGGCCTTGGTCCTTGTTCTACAGTCTGAGTCCTGGATCTACAGCTCGTCCGTCCGCGTAGGAGCAGATCCCTTTCTCAATATGTGGGTATCCCCTTTTTATTGTATCCTTTTATTGCCATGTGAGGAACAAAAGGTCACAAACTAGGACATTTCTTTGGCTCTTGGTGCAAACAACTTAAAGCCGAATAAAATCAATAAGGCATGCATAAATAAAAATCTAGAAACAGCAATGTCCATAAATGTTAATTAAGTCCATACATTTCGTTAACTAGAGTCTCGTGGATAATCACCACTGTCCTTAGAGCCTCCAACCTTTTCCTCGGAGAAAACTACTGTATCATAACAAAACAATGAGCTATTCTTTTTAGGGCTGTCAAAATTATCGCGTTAACGCACGTTAATTAATTTTTTTCATTAATCGCATTTAAAAAATTAACGCATTTGACGCATGCCCATGCGTCCCATAATAACACTCAGAATGCCGCGGACACATGCGTGTGTAAGATGGGGACAGAGCAGGTAGAGCCTCAATTCAAGTTTTAAAGAATACACGCGTGACCGCGGGGCACTTGTACTTTCCTGTATGAACTCTGCATGATGAGCTGCGGCCACAGCGCTCTGGACAGGTCCCACTTCCAGCGGCTGTGATCACGGCGAACGGCGCTGCGTAATGGGATCATATCCAAGACCACTCACAGAACTATTACAGAACTATTCTCTAGTGTGCGTACGTGTCTTTGCGTAACCGATGCACACAATATGTACAGCGCTGAAGCTGGACTGCGGAGCCTCAGTCTCCTCCGTGTCTTCTCCCGAAGCGCACTCGCTAAATTAAAGCTGAGGTACCTAATTTTCCTTTTGACCCTCAGTTCATGTTAGTTGTGCCAAAAAAGTAATGTTGTGAGCAAATCAAACAGATTTAAGGACATTCTGCTTCAGACTATTTTGAAATGTCCCTCATCTGTAACAAACAATGGTTTTGGTCTGAGTCTAAACAGAAAGACAGAATGTGAATAATGTTAATTCCATTTTATATGGATTTATTGTTATAACAAACAAATACAGTTGTTCACTAAGCTGTCATTTATCTTTCCATTCAAACAACAATTTACAGAAAATTATGGCATAATTTTGCCAATAGTTTGAAATGTGATTAATTAATTTTTAAGCTGTAATTAACTCGATTAAAAAAATTAATCGTTTGACAGCCCTAATGCTTTTGCCTTGATCACACGTCCCACTGGAAGTTCGTGTTCTTGTTTTACGACCTATAAAAATTCTTAAATTAAGATGAACTTAGCCAATATTTGAGCCATGTCAGACTTGATTTTTTTTGGGCTTTTGCGGTCTCACATTTCATAGTAGAATGTATTAATAAACAAAAGGGGAGTTTTCAATAGTTACTGTTGCGTAATTGTTGATTCTAAATCGTTTGGGGAGCTACTTGGACAGTGGGCGGTGAGCTACAGTTTGGAGACCCCTGTGTACGCTTTATAACAAACAAATGGCCAATTCCTTAAAATAACAACCAATTAACTATTGAACTTTCCACAAACGCTCGATTCTTGGTTTTCCTGAATGTGTCTCATTTAAAAGTCCAAATGTTTTTCTACTGTTAATGTTAAAGATGCAGTTTGAAATGCAGCGGTTTATTATATTCATCCAGGAGCTAAACTTTGTAATTATACAACTATACATAACTTGCAGTAGAAAATGCATTATTTTATAACTTTTTATGATATTTTTCCATATATTTTATGGGACGAATAAAGGATCACTTAATCTTAATCAAGGTAAAATAGCGTGTGCAGTTTTAATTCTATCTCTGTGTGTTCACATACTTTGCGCACACACAAACACATGATACACATACCCCTTGTGCGGCCCAGCTTCACCCAGACTCGACCTCATGCGGCCCACAGCTAAATTGGGTTTGAGACCCCTGTGGTAAATGCTATGATGTACTCTATGCCCAAAAAAATAAATAAACTGGATTACATCTCAACAAATGACAACATACCACCAGATCCTCCTCTTCTTCTTCCTCTTCTTCTTCCTCCGCTTCAGCCTCTTCCTCCTGGACACAAACACATTAGATTATAGCAAACATTACACTTTTTTATGAGGTAAAGTCATTTGACAGGTTTGAAGGACAAACTAAAGACCTAGTTTTCACTCACTGGTCACTACTAAACCATGCAAGAGTTGAAATAACATGAAAAGGTATATATGACATATGACGAGAAGAGAATAAATATAATCCATTTATAGCTTTACAGGTTGACTGGAGGTTACCTAAGGGCTGCATCAGGGCTGGTCATTGCCCACTACACATCCTGACACTTAGCAGAAAACATGCTTAATTAATATGGACTTTACCTCCTCGTCGGGGTCGTCATATGTGATCATTTTATTTTCCCAAACCATATTTTCGGTTTTAAAACGCGACTAAAAGCAGCAGAAAAAGGAGTAAAAGCCGGAGCAGGCGGTAAGGACGTGAGGTCGGTCACAGGCCGGAAGTGAGTCAATGGGAGACCGGATGTTCCGTATGGAAATATAAGGAACTAGAGAGAGCATCGCTACTTGATCGCTACCAAAAGGGGACTAGATTTTTGTTTGTTTTTTCTGATGAGTAGCTTTTTAAAATTATACATATTATTTTTGTTTTATGTATAAATTATGCAAATAAATTATCGACAACCAAACACCTGGATAACCACACGGAAAAAATAACACACAAAAGATAATAAGTACAGTATATTTTACTGGAATCGAACCCAGGAACTTCTTGTTGTGAAGAACAAGTGCTAGCCACTGTGCCCCCATTCAAAAATAAAAAATAAATAAAAACAAGTAGCAGAACAATTAAAATAATCTTGTTTTTTTTTTCAAATAAATGACATGATTCATCAATAAATGTAAAACAGGGCATAAATGTTGGATTCATTGTCAAATATTAAATAACAGTCTTTTGTATTACCAAGATGGGCGCCGATATTGCCATGACAACAGAACCCACGCGTTCTTTAGCACTTTATTTACACGTGTAGGTTGTTCTGATTGATTGATGTTTAATTTGTCCAATCACTAGGAGGAGCAGAACCAAGACCCGCCTTTTTTCCGGAACCTTCGCTTCGATTGAAAGTGCGGTGAAGTCGGGCATTATACAGTGTTACAACATGGCCCTGTGCATGAAAACAAGGATCATTTTGAGAAAAGTTAAAGATTTAAGGTGTTTTACGGCCAAACGGAACAGAGTCAAAGAGAAATGGGTCCGTAGTTTATGTGATATTATTGTTCGATCATTGTTCGTCATTTTTAAGACTTTTTCTGCTTGAAAATATTGAATGACAGAAATGAACTTGATATGTAGCTAACAGGCGAACTACCCGCATTAGCTCTTTTGTTAAGCTCTCCAAATTCATTCTAAAAATATAATTCGTTTTTTTAATGCTTGGACGAACTATATTTGTTGATTTATTATTAATACGACATTTGTTGACTTTTCCCATGTGTTGTGTAAATTGTGTATGAAATAATTATTTGGGGTAAATATTTCTTAACTGTATTTTTCGCTACATTTAGAGCCAGTTCAACAAAAAGAATATAAATCTGAAGACTTATTACTTACCTGAGGGAGACCAGAGAGAGACCAGAGAGAGACCAGAGAGAGACCAGAGAGAGACCAGAGAGAGAGACCAGAGAGAGAGACCAGAGAGAGACCAGAGAGAGACCAGAGGGAGACCAGAGGGAGACCAGAGAGAGAGACCAGAGAGAGAGACCAGAGAGAGACCAGAGAGAGACCCGAGAGAGACCAGAGAGAGACCAGAGAGAGAGACCAGAGAGAGACCAGAGAGAGACCAGAGAGAGACCCGAGAGAGACCAGAGAGAGACCAGAGAGAGAGACCAGAGAGAGACCAGAGAGAGACCAGAGAGAGAGACCAGAGAGAGAGAGAGAGACCAGAGAGAGAGACCAGAGAGAGACCAGAGAGAGAGACCAGAGAGAGAGACCAGAGGGAGACCAGAGAGAGACCCGAGAGAGACCCGAGAGAGACCAGAGAGAGACCAGAGGGAGACCAGAGAGAGACCAGAGGGAGACCAGAGAGAGACCAGAGAGAGAGACCAGAGAGAGACCAGAGAGAGACCCGAGAGAGACCAGAGAGAGACCAGAGAGAGAGACCAGAGAGAGACCAGAGAGAGACCAGAGAGAGACCCGAGAGAGACCAGAGAGAGACCAGAGAGAGAGACCAGAGAGAGACCAGAGAGAGACCAGAGAGAGAGACCAGAGAGAGAGACCAGAGAGAGAGACCAGAGAGAGACCAGAGAGAGAGACCAGAGAGAGAGACCAGAGGGAGACCAGAGAGAGACCCGAGAGAGACCCGAGAGAGACCAGAGAGAGACCAGAGGGAGACCAGAGAGAGACCAGAGGGAGACCAGAGAGAGACCAGAGAGAGAGACCAGAGAGAGACCAGAGAGAGACCCGAGAGAGACCAGAGAGAGACCAGAGGGAGACCAGAGAGAGACCAGAGGGAGACCAGAGGGAGACCAGAGAGAGACCAGAGAGAGACCAGAGAGAGACCAGAGGGAGACCAGAGAGAGACCAGAGAGAGACCAGAGGGAGACCAGAGAGAGACCAGAGAGAGACCAGAGAGAGAGACCAGAGAGAGACCAGACTAGTTTCCAAGTATTCTTCATTTTGGCAATAATTCAGTTCACTCAACAACTAGTCATTAGTCGAGTGGGGAAGCTTATGAGTTCAACTGTAAGGGCTTGAATCTCACATTCTCTACTTGTACTTGTCCTGGAGGAGGGTTTACTCCAGAGAGGTGCTCCTGAGCCATACTGGGCCTTTCTGAAGCCAGTTTCACACCCCAGGTCTATGTTAAGACTTACTCTACACCCAAAAGTTGCACTATAACCTTTTAACAAAAAACTTGTATACTTCTTTTTTATTATCATTATTTTCAAGATATAGATTTTATACTTGTTTTTTTATGTAATTAGTATAGCTATTGTTTACTTATCTTGTGCTGTGTGCTCCTCTTTCCTACTGTTCCATAACTCGTGATGCAACACTGCATATTCCCCACTGTGGGACGAATAAAGGATCGCTTAATCTTAATCTTAACAGCAGTAAACACTATTCTCATCTTTGTCTCCAGGCTGCGACACGTCCCAAGTTCCCGGCCACGCGCCTGGCCCTACAGCACATGGACAGCGGGTACGGGTCCCAGCTGGGCGCCCTGTGGCCCTCGGTGCGAGTGGCTCTGCTCTGTGAGAGGAAGTACGGAGCTCTGGTCAACACATACTCTCACCACGACGTCATCGCGGAGCTGCAGGGACAGGGCTGCTCCGACTTCATCTCCAGCACCGCGCCACCAGGTAAAGTTCATGTGTTTGAGTCGACTTTTGAATGATTGAATTAAGCCTTTTTTTAGTTTGATAAAAAAAAATTCTACCCGTTCTGCGTACTATTACTTCCACGCTCTTTTATGACCGTTATTCTGAACGGCACAAAGAAAATACATACATTTCAGACAGTTTGGAGAGACACATTACATGCAGACAACATGCTGGATCTTTTTTACTCAGACCAGCCCCGCTTTTCTGAGCCAAAGCAATTTCCTTTTTGTGACTTCTTGTTGCTCACATTCACATGACAATAAAAGATTTCTGATTCTGATTTTCTGATTCAAATTACCATGTGGCTGATAGACGTATATGACAGACTCCATCCATCCATTTTCATCCACTTAACCCTTTTCTGGGTCTGGAGTGGTGGCAATCAGAGTCAAAGGGAGATATACAGTATTAACCCCTTATTTGTTATATTGTTGATAATTGTCTCACAGCTTGTCACTGCTCAGACTAAATCTCACTTGATTTTGCTTCATACATTGTGCTCTTTAAGTTTAATGTTCTGTGTAGTTTTCCCACTGAAGATTTGACTTGTTTTTCTTCCATTTCAAATGTAAGATTCTTCATTATTGTTCTAGACCAGCTTTGTCATGGTCTGTATCTCTCGTCTGTTTGCAGAGACTGAACCAGCAGATGTGGCCCCTGCCTCAGACCTGGCCCCCGCCTCAGACCTGGCTCCCGCCTCAGACCTGGCTCCCGCCTCAGACCTGGCCCCCGCCTCAGACCATTCCTCTGGACAAGAGACAAACATCAAGTGCTTTGTGTTTCCTCCTGGAGACATCAGCAGATTCAAACCAGCTCGGTGAGAATACTAGGATACAAGTCTTTTTACTGGTCTAGTTTTGGGGAAAAAATATCTGGTCTAAAAACATACTGTAATCTTAACCGTATTGGAGATGGATAGAAAGTTCCTCCACCTTCCAAAATATGGAATATACCTTAAAGACATATATCATTTATTAGTTAGAGCTGATTTATAAGCTTGTGTTTTCACAGTGTCACTAAGATTTGTTATCTGAAGCTGCTGTGTTTGTTCAGGACACCAATTCAATTCAATGTATTTTTGTGTTGCCCTGAATCGAAACAGTTCTTATCATTGAGGACTCTGAGAAACACATAGAGCCATTGGTCCATAAGGGGTAGATGACCAATACTCATAAATGACAGCAGGGGGCAGCACTCTACCCCTGATAAACACATCTTTTAAAGGACAGATTTCACGGCTCACAATATGAATGCGTGTGACGTCTCTCAGGCCGGACTCTGGAGGTCTGCTGGGGTACTACCTGCTGGACGCGGCCTCGGTCCTGCCCTGCCTGGCTCTGGACGTGAGGGAGGGCCACACGGTTCTGGACCTGTGCGCGGCACCTGGAGGAAAAGCTCTGGCACTGCTGCAGACATACGGACTCGGTAACACACTCCAGGGCTCTCTCTATCTTCATTAAGCCTCAGTTTCATAAAGTACGAATAGGGCTGAATATTGTAGTGCTAAAAATACAATTGTGGTTTTTATGATTCCCATTGCACTGCCATTCTCAAACTATACTCGTTTTTATACTCCATACACAGTGGTGATAAACTAATACTGTAGCCACAGCTGCCCTGGGGCACACTGATAGAAGCGAGGCAACCAGTCTGTGCCCCTCCCACCACCACCAAATATTCACACACTGCAAAAAGTGATGAAAAATATGTCAAAAATGTCTCAAATTTTGCAAAATATGTCTCAATTGGAGCACATATTGACTGCCTTAAAACAATATTTGCCATTGGGAGAAAGCAAAAGGATCTTGTTATAAAAAACTCAACTTGCTAAAATTCAAGCAAATATTACCTTGTATTTTAACATATTTTGCGGTGCACATTCCAGACTCATTCTGGGCAATGTGGGTGAAGTGTCTTGCCCAAGGACAGTTGAGGACATTGACTGCCGACCCTATGCCTGCAGACTCCTGGGTTATTCCTGTGTTGTGTGTTCTGCTGTAGGCTTCCTGTGTCTGAACGACTCGTCTGCGTCTCGGACCTCGCGCCTGCGGAGGGTTCTCCACAGCTACGTCCCCAAAACCCTGATCTCGGACCAGACACTGCGGATCAGCTGCTTGGACGGCACCATGTGGGGGCAGGTGGAGCCGGGAACCTTCGACCGAGTGAGTGCCAGTCACAGGGCGGAGGCAGTCACAGGGTGGATGCAGTCACAGGGCGGAGCCAGTCACAGGGCGGAGCCAGTCACAGGGCGGAGCCAGTCACAGGGCGGAGCCAGTCACAGGGCGGAGGCAGTCACAGGGCGGAGCCAGTCACAGGGGTGAGCCAGTCACAGGGCGGAGGCAGTTACAGGGCGGAGCCAGTCACAGGGTGGAGGCAGTCACAGGGCGGAGCCAGTCACAGGGCGGAGCCAGTCACAGGGCGGAGCCAGTCACAGGGCGGAGGCAGTTACAGGGCGGAGGCAGTTACAGGGCGGAGGCAGTCACAGGGCGGAACCAGTCACAGGGCGGAGCCAGTCACAGGGCGGAGCCAGTCACAGGGCGGAGCCAGTCACAGGGCGGAGGCAGTTACAGGGCGGAGGCAGTCACAGGGCGGAGCCAGTCACAGGGCAGAGCCAGTCACAGGGCGGAGCCAGTCACAGGGCGGAGGCAGTAACAGGGCGGAGCCAGTCACAGGGCGGAGCCAGTCACAGGGCGGAGCCAGTCACAGGGCGGAGGCAGTTACAGGGCGGAGGCAGTCACAGGGCGGAGCCAGTCACAGGGCAGAGCCAGTCACAGGGCGGAGCCAGTCACAGGGCGGAGGCAGTTACAGGGCGGAGGCAGTCACAGGGCGGAGGCAGTCACAGGGCGGAGGCAGTCTCAGGGCGGAGGCAGTCTCAGGGCGGAGCCAGTCACAGGGCGGAGGCAGTCACAGGGCGGAGCCAGTCTCAGGGCGGAGCCAGTCACAGGGCGGAGCCAGTCACAGGGCGGAGGCAGTCACAGGGCGGAGGCAGTCTCAGGGCGGAGCCAGTCTCAGGGCGGAGCCAGTCACAGGGCGGAGGCAGTCTCAGGGCGGAGGCACACATTAAGAAAACAGCTCGACAAAAAGGTCTAATTATTATCATAGAGATTTTTTTATTAGCATTGTTGGGAACACAAATCAGATTCAGAAAAAACAATAAGATTAACCTTTATAGAACCTAAATAAGGATAAACTTTACATTTGAATTAAGTTCTTGTTTAGTAAGTTTAGTAGAAATGACATTAAAATAACAATCAAAATCACACACATCTAAAATACATTTTGAATTATTGTACACATCTATTCTCAGTCATTGTAATATTGTCCATTCTCAGCCTTAAATCAAAAACACAGAAATGGCTCTAAGGATCTGGCTTGACTGTCTTTTTCACTCTACATAAAAAAAATTAAATTAATATTTTTAAATTAGATACAATGTAATGTTTATTTTATCATTTTGGTCAATTTTAACCAATTTTTGTTGTTGAAGAAAAACTATTTTTAGTTACAGTTCATCTTCAACAAATGAATTCTAGTCCATGAATAATGTTTTTGTTGGTAATATTGGGTGGTGGAATGGATTCGGTTCTGTATGGGCTCTGAAAGACGCCCAGCCCGAGTTATGTCCCATTTAAGTCATTCAAACTTGCGGGATTCTTGTGTTTGTTTGTGTTCGAACGTTTATTTGAACATAGAATAAAAATAATAAACAAAGTAAGAACAAAAACAAGAAACAAAAGCAAAACAAACAAAGAAAGAAAGGGAGAAAAAAGCTGCCAATTCTTATTAAATCCTACCCCTTTTCTCTGTTAATTCAATATATAGAAATACGTTATCCTTTCCAAAACCATATTATTGCAGTTACCGCACACAGGTTAATAGGGCCTCTCCATGGATAAACGCAGCGTCTATGAACACTGAAGCAGCCAGTGACACCAGGGTCTAAACTGTGAGGACCAGCTGAGTTGAGTACTATGTGAGTTGAGTACTATGTGAGTTGAGTACTATGTGAGTTGAGTACTATGTGAGTTGAGTACTGTGTGAGTTGAGTACTGTGTGAGTTGAGTACTATGTGAGTTGAGTACTATGTGAGTTGAGTACTATGTGAGTTGAGTACTATGTGAGTTGAGTACTATGTGAGTTGAGTACTATGTGAGTTGAGTACTATGTGAGTTGAGTACTATGTGAGTTGAGTACTATGTGAGTTGAGTACTATGTGAGTTGAGTACTATGTGAGTTGAGGACTATGTGAGTTGAGGACTATGTGAGTTGAGGACTATGTGAGTTGAGGACTATGTGAGTTGAGGACTATGTGAGTTGAGTACTATGTGAGTTGAGTACTATGTGAGTTGAGGACTATGTGAGTTGAGGACTATGTGAGTTGAGTACTATGTGAGTTGAGTACTATGTGAGTTGAGTACTATGTGAGTTGAGTACTATGTGAGTTGAGTACTATGTGAGTTGAGTACTATGTGAGTTGAGTACTATGTGAGTTGAGTACTATGTGAGTTGAGTACTATGTGAGTTGAGTACTATGTGAGTTGAGTACTATGTGAGTTGAGTACTATGTGAGTTGAGGACTATGTGAGTTGAGTACTATGTGAGTTGAGGACTATGTGAGTTGAGTACTATGTGAGTTGAGTACTATGTGAGTTGAGTACTATGTGAGTTGAGTACTATGTGAGTTGAGTACTATGTGAGTTGAGTACTATGTGAGTTGAGGACTATGTGAGTTGAGTACTATGTGAGTTGAGGACTATGTGAGTTGAGTACTATGTGAGTTGAGTACTATGTGAGTTGAGTACTATGTGAGTTGAGTACTATGTGAGTTGAGTACTATGTGAGTTGAGGACTATGTGAGTTGAGGACTATGTGAGTTGGGGGAAAAGTGCAGTGGCCCCGGCGTCGTAGCTGAGCCAGACAGCGGCTGAGAGAAGGTGGTCTCTTCTCTGTGGAGGAGCCGCATGCTTCTTCCAGAGACGCTGTACAAGGACAAAACCCCTGCGCTGTGGTCCAGGAAAACCCCAATCCTGGACCCAGCTGGACCCGAGACCCAAGAGTCCAATGCTTTAAACACAAACCAGGAACTGTTCTCGTCACAGCGTAAAGCCCAGGATTTGTCGTTATTTCCGAATCCCTTTTTACCGCGCCAGCCTTTTCTGGAGATATCTCTGTGTGAGACGACGACTCGGACCCAGCTCCCGCTCCACTCCACCTCCCAGTAACAGCGGCCCGTCAGGCTCTCTCTGCTCAGAACCTGGTGCCAGTTGTCGAACCTGTCAGGATGGTCCAGGTGTCTCTGGTCTGTGCTCATCACCGTCACTCTTCTGTTTCCTTCAGACACGCTCAGCCTGGTGTGAGCGGTGTCCGGGTCCAGGGTGATGTCTGTGCTGTATTGTAGGAAGTCGTCCCTGGTGCTGAGTTCAGTCTGGGCCCTTTCTTCCTGGAGCGTGTGTAAGGACGCCACCTGCTGGTGTTGGTGTAACACTGCAGTGTCATGATGAGGCAGTCGCCCATCAGAGCAGCTCTCTGCAGCTGTGAGCTCGGTCCTGTTCAGCTGCTCCACTAAAGCTGCTAACATGATGTGTCTGATGGGGACAGGCCTGGGGCGAAGCACTGTCTACATTCAGGGCAGCTGAAGATCTGCTTCTGCTCCTCCTGGTCCCAGTGCTGCTTCACACACCTCCTGCAGTAGCTGTGTCCACAGGGAATAGTCACCGGCTCCTTCAGTACTTCCAAACAAACGGGACACAAAAGGACTTCTTGGTTCAGTGATTTCTGCGCCATCTCTGCTGCGAAGAGCCTCGAGAGTTTGACACAAACCAACCAAGAATATTATCATAGACAAGTCCCTGGCACCGACCTTTGGCCGCAGCTCCAGGGGCTGGACTTAAAGCGGCCCCTGCACAATCAGGAGTGAGACCATAATAACCAAACATGGAAACTAGTCAATCAATTATAATGAGTAGGTTTTCTAATCTGTTCTTGGACTTGGAGTAAATACAAATCCAATCCCACATGTGTCATTAGTCCACCATACAAAACCACCATACATACATATTCATACTAAACACTGAGTAACAATGTAAATAACATTCACTGATCGCATCAAGAAATTGAATGAATTCCTTTATTAGGTTTAGGGTTAACTGGGGAAATGGTCATTGACTCCTGAAGTTCAGTTTTTAGAAGTTAATGTTCCACAGGGACATTTTTGTTCTACACTAAAGCTCCAACATGTGGCTTTACTGACGATTAGAACCAGAAAAGATATGTAAAAGTTTTGGCCTGTGGTGTGTATTGTATACTTCATGTATTGTCTGTGGTTGCCAGGTGCTGGTGGACGCCCCGTGTACCACAGACAGACACTCGGTCACAGACGACGAAAACAACATCTTCAGCAAGAGCCGCACCGGAGAAAGGAGGCGGCTCCCACAGCTACAGACGGAGCTGCTGCTGTGAGGATCCACAGACACGCTCTACAGCCACAGACACGCTATGCAGCCACAGACACGCTATGCAGCCACAGACACGCTCTACAGCCACAGACACGCTCTACAGCCACAGACACGCTCTACAGCCACAGACACGATCTACATCCACAGACACAAACTACAGCCACAGACACGCTCTACAGCCACAGACACGCTCTACAGCCACAGACACGCTCTACAGCCACAGACACGCTCTACAGACACGATCACATCCACAGACACGCTCTACAGCCACAGACACGCTATGCAGCCACAGACACGCTCTACAGCCACAGACACGCTCTACAGCCACAGACACGATCTACATCCACAGACACGAACTACAGCCACAGACACGCTCTACAGCCACAGACACGCTATGCAGCCACAGACACGCTCTACAGCCACAGACACGCTCTACAGCCACAGACACGCTCTACAGCCACAGACACGATCTACATCCACAGACACAAACTACAGCCACAGACACGCTCTACAGCCACAGACACGATCTACAGCCACAGACACGCTCTACAGACACGATCACATCCACAGACACGCTCTACAGCCACAGACACGCTATGCAGCCACAGACACGCTCTACAGCCACAGACACGCTCTACAGCCACAGACACGATCTACATCCACAGACACGAACTACAGCCACAGACACGCTCTACAGCCACAGACACGCTCTACAGCCACAGACACGCTCTACAGCCACGACACGCTCTACAGACACGATCACATCCACAGACACGCTCTACAGCCACAGACACGCTATGCAGCCACAGACACGCTATGCAGCCACAGACACGCTCTACAGCCACAGACACGATCTACATCCATAGACACGATCTACAGCCACAGACACGCTCTACAGCCACAGACACGCTATGCAGCCACAGACACGCTATGCAGCCACAGACACGCTCTACAGCCACAGACACGCTATGCAGCCACAGACACGCTATGCAGCCACAGACACGCTCTACAGCCACAGACACGATCACATCCACAGACACGCTCTACAGCCACAGACACGCTCTACAGCCACAGACACGCTCTACAGCCACAGACACGCTCTACAGCCACAGACACGCTCTACAGCCACAGACACGCTCTACAGCCACAGACACGCTATGCAGCCACAGACACGCTATGCAGCCACAGACACGCTCTACAGCCACAGACGATCTACATCCATAGACACGATCTACAGCCACAGACACGCTCTACAGCCACAGACACGATCACATCCACAGACACGCTCTACAGCCACAGACACGCTCTACAGCCACAGACACGCTATGCAGCCACAGACACGCTATGCAGCCACAGACACGCTCTACAGCCACAGACACGATCTACATCCATAGACACGATCTACAGCCACAGACACGCTCTACAGCCACAGACACGCTATGCAGCCACAGACACGCTATGCAGCCACAGACACGCTCTACAGCCACAGACACGCTATGCAGCCACAGACACGCTATGCAGCCACAGACACGCTCTACAGCCACAGACACGATCACATCCACAGACACGCTCTACAGCCACAGACACGCTCTACAGCCACAGACACGCTCTACAGCCACAGACACGCTCTACAGCCACAGACACGCTCTACAGCCACAGACACGCTCTACAGCCACAGACACGCTATGCAGCCACAGACACGATCACATCCACAGACACGCTCTACAGCCACAGACACGATCTACAGCCACAGACACGATCTACAGCCACAGACACGATCTACAGCCACAGACACGCTCTACAGCCACAGACACGCTCTACAGCCACAGACACGCTCTACAGCCACAGACACGCTCTACAGCCACAGACACGATCTACATCCACAGACACGATCTACAGCCACAGACACGCTCTACAGCCACAGACACGCTCTACAGCCACAGACACGCTCTACAGCCACAGACACGCTCTACAGCCACAGACACGCTCTACAGCCACAGACACGCTCTACAGCCACAGACACGCTCTACAGCCACAGACACGCTATGCAGCCACAGACACGATCACATCCACAGACACGCTCTACAGCCACAGACACGATCTACAGCCACAGACACGATCTACAGCCACAGACACGCTCTACAGCCACAGACACGATCTACAGCCACAGACACGATCTACAGCCACAGACACGATCTACAGCCACAGACACGATCTACAGCCACAGACACGATCTACAGCCACAGACATGCTCTACATCCACAGACACGATCTACAGCCACAGACACGATCTACAGCCACAGACACGCTCTACAGCCACAGACACGATCTACAGCCACAGACACGCTCTACAGCCACAGACACGCTCTACAGCCACAGACACGATCTACATCCACAGACACGATCTACAGCCACAGACACGCTCTACAGCCACAGACACGATCTACATCCACAGACACGATCACATCCACAGACACGCTCTACAGCCACAGACACGATCTACAGCCACAGACACGATCTACAGCCACAGACACGATCTACATCCACAGACACGCTCTACAGCCACAGACACGCTCTACAGCCACAGACACGCTCTACAGCCACAGACACGATCTACAGCCACAGACACGCTCTACAGCCACAGACACGATCTACAGCCACAGACACGATCTACAGCCACAGACACGATCTACAGCCACAGACACGATCTACAGCCACAGACACGATCTACAGCCACAGACATGCTCTACATCCACAGACACGATCTACAGCCACAGACACGATCTACAGCCACAGACACGCTCTACAGCCACAGACACGATCTACAGCCACAGACACGCTCTACAGCCACAGACACGCTCTACAGCCACAGACACGATCTACATCCACAGACACGATCTACAGCCACAGACACGCTCTACAGCCACAGACACGATCTACATCCACAGACACGATCACATCCACAGACACGCTCTACAGCCACAGACACGATCTACAGCCACAGACACGATCTACAGCCACAGACACGATCTACATCCACAGACACGCTCTACAGCCACAGACACGCTCTACAGCCACAGACACGCTCTACAGCCACAGACACGCTCTACATCTTGTGAAAGTAGCATTTAAAAAACAACAGGTCTTCTTCATGTTCAGTTCAAAAACACATCAGGGACAGACCAGTGTTCATACATGTTAGTTTGATAAATATATCTCTCTCTCTCCTCTCTCATCTCTCTCCCCTGTCTCTCTTCTCTCTTCTATATTTTTGCTCTAGTCTCTCTTCTCTCTTGCTTCTCTCTCTCTTCTCTCTTCTATCTCTCCTCTCTCTTCTCTGACCGCTTTCTCCTTTCTTATATCTCTTCTCTCCCTTCTCTCTCCCCTGTCTCTCCTCTCTCTTCTATATTTTTTCTCTAGTCTCTCTTCTCTCTTGCTTCTCTCTCTCTTCTCTCTTCTATCTCTTCTCTCTCCTCTCTCCTGTCTCATCTCTCTATTCCCTGTGCATAGAGACATGGTGTACAGTACATAAGTTGAAACAGTAGTGTGTGTGTTCAGGGCGGGGCTGCAGGCGGCCTGTCCCGGGGGAGAGGTGCTGTACTCCACCTGCTCTCTGTCCCAGCAGCAGAACCAGGCCGTGGTGGAGCAGGCTGCACTGACCGCCCTGGAGGAGCACGGGATCCACACCCAGGTAAGAGACCGGACACACTGGGGGACTGAGGCTGTAGACCCAGGACTGAGGCTGTAGACCCAGGACTGAGGCTGTGTGGGTTTAGGACTGAGGCTGTAGACCCAGGACTGAGGCTGTAGATCCAGGACTGAGGCTGTAGACCCAGGACTGAGGCTGTAGACCCAGGACTGAGGGTGTGGATCCAGGACTCAGGCTGTAGATCCAGGACTGAGGCTGTAGATCCAGGACTGAGGCTGTAGATCCAGGACTGAGGCTGTAGACCCAGGACTGAGGCTGTAGACCCAGGACTGAGGGTGTGGATCCAGGACTCAGGCTGTAGATCCAGGACTGAGGCTGTAGATCCAGGCCTGAGGCTGTAGATCCAGGACTGAGGCTGTAGACCCAGGACTGAGGCTGTAGACCCAGGACTGAGGCTGTAGACCCAGGACTGAGGCTGTAGATCCAGGACTGAGGCTGTAGACCCAGGACTGAGGCTGTAGACCCAGGACTGAGGCTGTAGACCCAGGACTGAGGCTGTAGATCCAGGACTGAGGCTGTAGATCCAGGACTGAGGCTGTAGACCCAGGACTGAGGCTGTAGACCCAGGACTGAGGCTGTAGATCCAGGACTGAGGCTGTAGACCCAGGACTGAGGCTGTAGATCCAGGACTGAGGCTGTAGACCCAGGACTGAGGCTGTAGACCCAGGACTGAAGCTGTAGATCCAGGACTGAGGCTGTAGACCCAGGACTGAAGCTGTAGATCCAGGACTGAGGCTGTAGATCCAGGACTGAGGCTGTAGACCCAGGACTTAGGCTGTAGATCCAGGCCAAATTCAGAGGTCCCATCATCACGCCATGAAATAGACAATGGGACAGCAGGTGAATAGCAATGAACAGACTACAGCTGAAGTTAGTATTTAGAACATCTAGAATATTGACCCCTAATCCACAGAAAGCTGTTCAGAAAGTGTAGCTCGGCTGGTTGTGTGTGTGGTTCTATCGCTGTTCGTAATCATTGTGTGTGTGTGTGCGTGTGTGTCTGTGCGTGTGCGTCTGTGTGTGTGCGTCTGTTGTGTTGCAGGTGGTGGATCTGAAGCCTCTCACGTGCAGATTCTCGAACACGTTCCACTTCGCCCGTGTGTCTGTGGGGGAACTGGTGCTGCCTCATTTGGCTTCCAACTTTGGACCCATTTACATGTGCAAGCTCCGGAGGCTCTCATAGCAGCGGACCCCAGACCCCGGGCCACACGGACCTTTGAGAAACCCAGAGGAAAAGACTGAAGACAAAGACAAGAAACTTTCATCTCGAGGCAGAATACGCTGTTTGTAAAGAATGTGAAATATGGTTCTGCTGAAAATCTACTTTTTTTAAAAGTTGACTTCGGCGCCACCAATGTACCGTACTCTCTGTACTTTAAAGCTGCATTACCTCACTTTATTTTTGTATTCATTACAAAAATTCAATCCATATCCATGCAGTGCTTTGGGACATACGTCCTTTTGAAGAAAAAGTAGCGCAGATTTGAGCTGGAGTGTCATTTTATTTTAGATCGAGTTTTCATGAAAACAAGGAAGAGACTTTGTTTCGGGTCCAGATTGTGACCAATCACAGCGCACCACTGGCCCCCACTTTCTTGAGAAAAGCCACAGGTCTTTGGTTAGCACAGACAGCTGAGGTAAACAAGCGGCGGAGGCTAACCTGAAGCCTCCCGTGTCTTCGTTACCGGTTTCTGCCTTCTCTGCGAAACATCCAAAAGAAAGTCTCATGAGTACACATGAGCACAGGCTGAGGGGGGTGTGTGTTAGTGGGGGGCGATAGCTCTGAGTGCGGGGAGGGCGAGCAGAAAGAGCGAGGCCAGCGCTCACACACGAAAATGTCACAAAGTGAGTTAGTGCAGCTTTAAGGTGCACCTGTATATAACCCACACCTGTATATGAGCCGCACCTGTATATAAGCCGCAGGTTTTCATATAGTAATGTAGCAGAGACGACTGTTTTAACTGGTCACAACATGATTTAGTGATGAGGTGTTTAGCAGTTGAACCGTTAGCTTCCAGACTCATTCACCTTCATCTGTTTTGACAATAAAAAGGGGTGCTATATCTGCAAAAACCTGATTGTTTTAGTTGAAGTCACAATAATAAGTTCTTAAACTCTGCTAAAAACAACTGCGGTATTTTTAAAATAGTCTAGTCCTGACTAGAACCAGGAAGTACCATGGCGTCCAGTCCTCAGGTCTCGGAGCCACAGGAAGTCAGTGCAAAGAGTAGACTTTAAAGCAGCTCTCCAGGGCCTCGAACCAAAATACATCTGAGACATGTTAGTGCCATATGAACCAACTCTGAGGAGTACAGGGACTGGCCTCCTGCTGAGACTCTGAGGAGCACAGGGACAGGGACTGTTGGGACTCAGGGTCAGGACTAAACGTGAGGAGCGTTTCAGATTTGTGATGAGAAAAACCGGGAACTGGGCATGAACTATACAAAGAAACTTGCCTTATCTTGCTCGGCCAACAGCCTGACTCTACCACAATTAAAATGCACATATTAGCTGCATTGTTATATAAGCCGCAGGTTTCAATGAACTAGAAAAAAGAAGCTGCTTTTAGTCCGGAAAGTATGATAGTCATGTGATAGATCTTGTTATAGCTTATCTTCTTTGGAATTTAATACTTGGATACATTTTCTGATGAATACTTAATGTTTTGCCTCGTTTCATATGTGCATTTTTTTTATCCAGAAAATCTTGTTTAAGTTACTTTTTTGTGAACACACACCATACTGTCTTTCTAGTTAGAAAGAGAGTATTAGTAGTAGTAGTTAGTTAACCAAACTCAAGCACTTTCTGTGTGGGTCCAAAGTTCTCCAGCTTTAACTGTGTGTCATATTGAGACATGTTGCCCTTTTGTATTTGTTCAGTGGACTTTTCTCTCTGGTAATACAGTTTTCGGTCAGTAGAGGGTGACATTAGCCCAGACTTGGTGCTGTTCTGTACCGCATGTGTCCGCAAGAGGGCGGTGTTCCTCTGACTCAGACTGGGCGCGCTCTCTGCCTGGGATCGTTCCAATGTTCCTGAAATCAAAACCCATTTCTAAAGACTCAGACCAAGAGCGGAAGCAGAAGACAAACACGTAATTAAAGTAAAGATTTGGAGATTTCTACTTTTAACATGTGAACACACCTTTTTACATTTACTTTGATTAGTTTAGATCCTGAAAGGCTCTGTGATTATGTTTTTTTTTATATATACATTTGACCAAAACAAATCTCAAGTGATGTCACATAGAGACGACCTGTTATACATTATTTGACTACTATTAAATTGATTACTTAATTCAATATTTTCCGAGTTAAAACACTTCTGTAGCTAATTATGGAGACAAACCCCTGCTCCCCACAGAGCTCTCTCCCCATTGGTTGAACTGTCAAGAGAGACCGTTTACGTCCAGAGAGTGGTTGCAATTAGCTGGTTGTGAAAAACTATAACTTAAAAGAAAAAAATTACTAAAATCAATACATTTTCTTTTTTATTTCCTACATTTTGCGCTTCAAAAACATGCTTAGGTTTTAGTATTTTAATTCTACAGTAAGATTTTTTTTGTAAACGCAAAATGTGGAGTCAGAACACAGCTGCTGCTTGTTAGATTAGAACAAAAATACACCCTGAGAGTCACTATTTGACGCTTTACAGACATCACCTTTAATTTACAGATGAAAAAAAAAAACAATTCAACTCATAAAATCAAATCTCATAAATTATAAAACTAAAAACTTGTATTTACTCAACACTCTCGGTTCGAAGTCCCCACACTGGTTATAGAGTTAAGTTTATCTGTTTGGCACAGTTCATAAACAAGGAAACTCAAAGTGCGGAACAAAACAAGGAACACAAGGAATTAATATGAATAATCACAGTGCATTAGAAAAGAGTAAATATATAATTCTTTGGTTGTAGCAGCTAAAGGAAACTTGTTTTTAACCTGGATTTGAACATTGTCAGAGAAGAAGCCTGTCTCACATTTTCAGGAAGACTGTTCTAGATTTCAGCTGCATGAATCTGAAATGCTGCCTCCACATGTTTGGTCCTGACTCTGGGACCAGCAGGAGGCCAGTCCCTGTGCTCCCCAGAGTCCCAGCAGGAGGCCGGTCCCTGTGCTCCTCAGAGTCCCAGCAGGAGGCCGGTCCCTGTGCTCCTCAGAGTCCCAGCAGGAGGCCGGTCCCTGTGCTCCTCAGAGTTGGTTCATATGTCACTAACATGTCACAGACTTTGATGCAAGGTCATGGAGCACCAGGACTTCTGCCAAACATTGACCTGATCCCATTTT